AACCAACCAACCAACCAACCAACCAACCAACCAACCAACCAACCAACCAACCAACCAACCAACCAACCAACCATACATCCATCATATTTCTCTCACTTTTCTATCTATCTTTTATTTATTATTATCTACTATTATCTATTATCTATCAGGTCTCTATCATCTCTATCTATCTATTATCCATTATCTCTCTATCTATTTTATCTCTCTATCTATCTATCTATCTATCTATCTATCTATCTATCTATCTATCACATTTCTCTCTCTTTTCTATCTTTTATCTATTATTATCTACTATCTATCCTCCCTCCCTCCTTCCCTCCCTCCCTCCCTCTCTCTCTCTCTCTCTCTCTCTCTCTCTCTCACACACACACACACACACACACTCTCATCATTTCTCATCTATCTATTATCACATTTATACGCTGCCACAATCTCATAAGACTCTGGGTAGTCCACAAATATCAAAGTATACAGTAAAAAAACCAAGAACATCCATAATCCAAGTAAACCCCGACTACAAAGATATATATCCTGACAAAAACCAACTGATAAGGCTGATCAAATTGATCTCATGACCCAGATGCCCTTTGAAGAATTCTAATCTGAGCTGTTTCTGGACCATAATCAAAGAGAACCAGGTGTCCACGAGAAGGACATTTCAAACGTCTGACACTATCACAGAGAAGCAATGCCTCCAAGCCTCAGTAATTCCAAAGAACTACCAGAATCCGAGAGAGTGTATATCTAGGCCCCAATTACTAAAAGAGATTGGACCAAGCAGGGTTAATGTAGTATTGTATTCTGAGTTCCCACAGCTCCAACTAATGTGTATGGCAGTGTTTCTCAACCTTAGCAACTTGAAGATATCTGGACTTCAACTCCCAGAATTCCGAATGCTGGCTGGGGAATTCTGGGAGTTGAAGTCCAGACATCTTCAAGTTGCCAAGGTTGAGAAACACTGGTGTATGGGAAGCAAAATGCTTTACTAAGTGGTTTCAATATTTCCTAATACTTCCTTTACTTAATTCCAATTGCATTTAGCTAAATGTGCATTGGGTTATATAGGTGCCTTTTTGAGATGTTGGAGAAAATGGTTATCTTAAAGTTTAATTCACAAAGGCTAACATGAAAGAAAGGCCATATTGAAAAGTTTGGGGGAATATACAAACGTAACTCACACACTAGAAGTTAAACTACAAGTAATCCTCATTCTGTGACCAGCAATTTGATCATTAACCAAAGTGGTTACTAAGCGAAACACTAAAATTTTATTATCTTACTTAGGATTTCTTTTGCTGTACAGACCTCAAAGGTTGTAAATTTGAGGACCAGAGGAAAAGTTACTTTTTGATAGCCATTGCAACTGAGAAAACTCTCTAAAAACATAGTCACTAAACAAGGACTACTTGTATTTCAAAGAAAAAGTATGTTTTCCTTTTAATTCATAGCCAAAGTTAATTTAGCTTTGTCATAAATTAACGCTGTCACTGTTTACACAATATGTTCAATCGGGTCAAGTAAAAGCTTAACAGATGCATTCAGACATGCAGTTCAGTGACACTGTGTTAGATTGTTCTTTATTTTCATTATGTTCAGGTTAATTTATCATTCCCAAATTGCTGAATCCACAAAATGGGCTAATCAAAGTGAAGCATGTTGAACAAACCGGCCAACTTGCATGTAAAAACGGTCTGCAATTCAGTTTTTCCTGATAAAAATTGTTTAGGGGAGAAAATGGACACTACCCAGGGCATCAACTTGTGGTTTAAAATTGATTTTATATCCAAACCTTGGCTAACCAGTCTGGATGAACTTGAAAGCTATATTGTAGTTTATGAAGACTTCCTGATGTTATTTAGCAAGTCAAGCGATGAGATTTCATCTGCCGTAAAAATTGTCATTTCATTTCAACAGGCTTATTAACTGTTCATCTGAATGCAGCTATTTTACTGCAAGTAACCTGTCATCATAAAATTGCCTTTTGGGGGGGGGGACCCAAAACAGGATCAACTAGAATTCCAGGCAGGCCCTGGAAATTCCTAGAATTCTTAGGATGCTTTTACATATTGCCTTTGTTACTTACCGCAGTCTTAAACTTTCACTGAGGTTGGAGGCATCATAAGTTGGTTTACCCTGGGGAAAAAGAAATGGAATTGTCATGTTTCAAGCTTTTTTTCCCCCCACAACATGCATACACAAGCATACAATCATATAGGAGAATATTTTTTTAAACATCCACACGTTATTGCCAAGACCTATACAGTGACCCATCTGTTCTTTCTGCATAGGCAAGCAATTTAGAAAGTGGAAAGAATCCATATGGAAAAGAGGCTCCCAGAGCAACATCCAGATATGCCATTTTGGGTCCCAGAATTCCCAACATTGGGAGGTTTCTCAGGTTGGGAAACCCTGCCCTAGTTCTTCCTCAAGTGCTTAGATGTTGGGAGGTTTAGAGTCCTCTGGTTATAAATTATATAGGTAATCCTTGATTTATGACCACAATTTTATTTTTATTTATTTTATTTATTTGTATCCTGCTTTTATTACTTTTACAAACAACTCAAGGCAGCGAACATGTATAATACACCTTCCTATTTTCTCCACAACAACCACCCTATAAGGTGATTTAACAGGTTAACAGAGTTGGAAGGGACCTTGTAGGTCATCTAGTCCAACCCCCCCACCCAAGCAGGAGACCCTATACCATTTCTGACAAATGGCAGTCTAATCTCTTCTTGAAAGCCTCCAGTGATGAAGCTCCCACAACCTTTGATGGAAAGCTGTTCTATCGGTTGATTGTTCTCACTGTCGTCATAAACTTATTTCTAGGTTGAATATTTCCTTGATCAATTTCCATCCATTATTCCCTGTCTGGCCTTGAAGTGCCTTGGAAAATAGCTTGATCCCTTCCTCTCTGTGGCAGCCCTTCAAATATTGGAAGACTGCTATCATGTCTCCCCTGGTCCTTCTCTTCACTAGACTAGCCATGCCCAGGTCCTGTAACCATTCTTCATATGTTTTATTCTCCAGCCCTCTAATCATTCTGGTTGCTCTTCTCTGCACTTTTTCTAGAGTCTCAACATCTTTTTTTATAGTGTGGTGACCAAAACTGGATGCAGTACTCTAGATGTGGTCTTACTAAGGCTTTAGAGAGTGGTATTAGTACCTCACTTGATCTTGATTGTATCCCTATTTTAAAGTGAGCTAGGCTGAGGTAAGTGACTGGCTCAAAGTCACCCAGCTGGCTTTCACTGCCCCAGATGGGACTTGAACTCATGATCTTTCACTTTTTAGCCTTAATGACTAGACAAAACTGGGCCTTGGAGTTGCCAAATTGGCAATTGGGACAGCAACATCCGTTACTAAGTGAGGAGATTGTTAAATGAGTCATGCTCAATTTATAACCATTTTTGCTGCAGTCATTAATCAAAACTCTGGTTATTCAGCAAACTTTGCTTCCCCCATTGTCTCTGCTTGCTAGAAACCAGCTGGGATGGTTGCAAGTGGTGATCACCCGGCCTCAGGACACTGAAACTGTTGTAAATATAGGCTGCTTGCCAAATGTCCCAATTTTGATCATGTGACCACCGGGATGGGAAGGTGGTTGTAAGTGCTAGGGGTTGGCTGTAAGTCACTTTTTTCAATGCCACTGTAACTTTGAATGGTTGCTGATGAATGGCTGTAAACTGAGCACTCTCTCTAATGCCCATTGCTCTGGTCACACTGGGTGGGGTTATATTATAGTCCAAAACTACATATTGGTTGTAAGCTTTCCCGAGTTGTTTTATCATGGGTACTTAAATAAACAAACGAATAATCTGTCAATTTCATTTTCTTATTTTTTTGCAAATCTCTCAGATTCAGTTAGTTAAATCTAGGGATTCCAGATGCCCATCAAAGTTTGTAAATATTTGGCTACACATTTCTCCATACCCACACAAATTTTATCGGCATTTTTGTTCATACACTGTACTTCAAATACATTCTTCTCCTGTACAATACACTTTTCATGACTGCATGCATTTTTCTACAGAGTTTCCCTAATATCTTTTTTTTTTAAATAGGAAAGTATGGCAAAGTAAAATCCAGAAATTGGATTTTATAAGCTTTAGTTTACAAATTGCTCTGCATCTCCGCCCCCCCCCCCCAAATCTCAGTGGAGATCAGGTATTACAGTTTTTAAAAAGTTACAATCAGGCAATTAGCAAAGCTCTTAAAAGTTAAAAGTCCCACATGATTTCCACAAAGTATTTTTCTTTTGTCAGGAATAGATTTCTGTTTGGTATAATGGTGTAATACGCACCGATAGCTGCTGTTTGAATGACTACCATAATTTATATATCAAGACTCTCTGCTGACAAAAGCATATTTTCTCAAACTGTCTTACCGAGTCTCAATTTTAATTTTTTAACACCCCCTCAATCAAATTAAAAGCCTTCAATTCCCAGTATCTGATCTTAGAACACAGAACGTAGGAAAATAGCTTGTCATTTTGCCTTCTTCTTTTTTTTTCCAAAACAGCACGCCACTTTCTAAATACATCCATAAGGATGAAACAAAAAACAACACAGTGTGATGGGTAAGATTAAAAACAGTAACACAACAAAGGAGATATTTAAAGCAGATGCAGTGAAAGCAGACGGCAAAAACTACCGAGCAAAAGAAAAGAAAAGAAAAGAAAAGGCCAAGCTGTAAGTCTGACTCAGTGACAGAAAGAGAAAGGGTTTCAAACAAATGGTTGAAAACTAAAAGCCAAAAAAATTGAGAAGACTAACGCATCTGGATTACACAAATACCTAGTATTATTTTTCTTTAAGTAACACAGGAAGACTCTGAAGCCAGTACTCGCTCTAGGCAGCTGAGAGACCACAAGCCTTGAGGATTAACCTGAAGATAATATATAATATAATAATATATAATAAACAAACAACAAGAAAGTGAGGCCTATAAAAGCCACGTATTCCTTTTCTATACTGGAATTCTCCAGATGTGTTGAATGGCAACTCCCACCATGGCCAATAAATATGCTTGTCGGAGAGTAATACAGGGATCCCCAACCCCTGGGTCACAGCCCACTACCAGCCCACTACCAGCCCTGGTTCCATTCGGAACCAGTCCGTGGAAACGGTGGGCACGTGTATGAGTGCAGTTCCACATACCTGGCAGTGGGCACTTGCACTCGCAGACAAAGCTCCATTTGTACAAGTGGCAGGCACTCACACTTGTGCAAATAGAGCTGCGCTCATGCTGACATCCCCCTTCCCCCCCCCCACACCAGAAAGATTGGGGACCGCTGCGATAATAGAGTTGGAAGACAGCAGAATGGTGGCGATGGCATTAAATTTTTCAGTTAAATTTAGAAGAGCCCCAGAGACGCCAGATAATTCAAGAGATTGATTGCAAGATGATTAGGAAGAGAGGGATAGGAGAGAGGGCAAGGGGGGAAGATGAGGAGAATAAGGAGGAGTGGAATGAGGAGAGAGGAGAAGGAGAAAGGAAGGGGAAGTAGAGTAGAAAAGGATGATGGAGGGAAGAAAGGAGGTAGGAAGGGGGAGGAGAGAGGCAGAAGAAAGTGGTGTATGGAGAGCAGAGAGCTAATAATTGGTTTTTATCTTTCTGGGAGTTGATGGCAAGAGGAACTGATGTAATTATTAATTAATACAATATGATATTGGCTATGTAAT